TTTTTTTACATATTTGAAAATCTATAGCCGCTTCCCCCACCGATGTAAAGGTATATATCATATAACATTTTTTTCTTCTTATCATCTAAGCTTTGCATCCCAATAGGTCTCTACGACGCTCGAGTAAATCCCCATTTAGCCTCGTGGGCTCCCCTACTATTATTAGTTTGTTTTTTGTTCCTGTTTAGTTTCGTTTCTTAACAACTATATGTATTTGTAATACATGTATTTTTGCACTTCTTGCCTACCTTATGTATTTTATTACATTTTTTTCTTCTTTTCTCACAGTGGTTGCCTGCAAGAGATCGCTCGAAAGCGATAAGGCCGCCAGTTGCTCTCCTTTTTATTTAATTATGTCAATTGTACTATATTTATGTATATGCAATGAAGTGTTAATATATAAATAAATAAATATTATAACGTTGAAGCAATCTACCTAAGAACTAAAGTATGATGCCGATTTTGTAACTTTAAGCACCAAGACTTAATCCTAAAAATAAATCGAATGGAAGTAAGACGATTAATTGTTTATTAAGCCGGTTTTGTATTATAAAAGTTCCCTTACCTCTATTCACTTGGATTAGGCGATAAAGTGTATTTTTGCCTCACGATTTTATTACTGCAATAACTTATTCACTCTTTTTAATGCTTCATTAAATTTTAATTGACTCAGGATTAGTCATCGTAAAGGTTGAATTTAATTGGATTTATTTATAAGTGGAAGAAAGTTGAGTATTTTTTTAATTTAAAATTATTTCATACTGCTATAAAGGAACAACTTATATTTTTTATAAGTTTGAAGCATCTAAATTTACGAAGAAATAAGCAAGAATTCAAGTTCCTTGAAAGCCTCTTAGCACCGTCTTTTGCAGCGCAATAAATTGCAAAATGTGTTTTTGACACGATGTATATGAATCTTTTAGAAGTCATGATCGAATTAGAAATCTGGTTTGGCAAGTTGCCACAGATAAAAGTGCATTTCAAAATTGATTCCTTTGTAGAGCCGGCTTTGATTTATCTAAAGAGTAAACCCGACCCAGCTTCGGACTATACTGCTTCATTTAAAGATAAAATGTATTTTATTAATTGTTAATATTGGTCTTCATCGTGTTATAATTTGTATGTATTCATAGAATCTAGTTGTTAGTATGTTATATATTTAATTCAATTTTTTTTAATGTCTTTGTTTTGACTTTGATTACCAAATGTTGTGTTTTAAATTATGTTACAAAATGTAACTAAGTCCGCTGACGCAGCGACTAAAAATGAACCTGCGACTAGAGAACGCCATCTATCCGTTTGATTGGTCATCTTGAGAGAATGGGAGAAGATCGGAGTGTTAAAAAATCGTGTCTCGGAATACCGACCAGCCGGTGGCAGGTCCAGATATCCCTAGAACGGCGTTAATATAATATATATATATCACCGAGAAGAACCTAAGAAAGCTCCTAGATTTTTATAAATGAATGTATTTTAATGTAAGAATACAATTAAAAAATATCATTTAATTTTTATAACAAACCCCCAAATTCTGAATGTTTATCAATTTAGATTATTATAGCGCCATCTAGACGAATATTATATAAACTATAAAATACATTTATTTAGGCTTATTAGTAACATAATTTCACAATAGATGGAGCTATCTTACATATTCAATAAATCGAATCGAAGTACGTAGCAACTAAGAAGGAAACAACATTTTAATTTTCAAGTGTTTCGCGGTATCTATGGATTCATTGTATATTATAGTGCTTAATATAATAAAATTGGAGAATAATATACAAAAATAAAACACAGTATATACGTTTATTATCCATAAACCTTTTACAAGTGTTCTTTAAAATAATGAATTATTAATGCACAACAAATAATTATACATTTAATACATCTAATTGATTAATTTCAGATTTTAACAGAATTAATAGTTAATTAGCCCCTCGCTTAAAACTTTTAAATATTGTTTATAGGTGGAAATGAAGATAAACTTTCTTTGATACAACTATACCATAGCCTGGATATTACAACTGTGAAAAAAATTATATACTTATAAACGTTATTTAGTGCTTAATATTGAATTGGTCGATTAACATATAGCTGTATTTTATAAGGGAAAAGTTAAGTTATAGTAAAAAACATGCGGTTATTTAAAAACTGAGACTAAAACAAAAACTAGTTCACAAATTTTAGAAAAGTCGTAACCAGATTCATCCATTAAGTTTATAAACCTTTTAGTGGACATTTCAAGTGGACGATTGGCAAGCGATCAGCAAGTGGGGTTATCTACTTTCGAAGACCAAGGCTCACATTGAATCGCTGCGCCGATGGAGTATTTTTTTAGTAGAGATTTAAAGAAGCTTACCCCAGCGCAAGTAAAAAGGGCCTTACGCTTTCCTACGCTTTATATCAGTTTGTAGTGTAGTTCTTCAGAATTATTATTATTAGATAATCTAATAATATAATGGACAACATTGTGAACGTACTAGTATGTTTTATCAAAGAAAGTCCTAACCTAAGCCATTCACTACGATATGCCAATAACACCCTTTTACCTACACGATAAATATGCCTTAACCACGTACAACCTTCATTAACATTCTACACAAACCATACACCTACCTATTCGCTTTCAGTTAAATATGAAATAGACAGCAATATTTAAATGTCCAGGTTCTCAGAGTCGTTCATTAAGTGTAAATGCTTAGGTATTAATAATCAGAGCCTAAAAGAGGTTGTTATTTTACTGAATCAAGATAACTAATACATTACAGCTGCACCGTTATCCTATAATCTACCATTAGAGATAATGGACGTCTCTGAGTACAACTGTCAAAAACGTGTGTGACTTTAGATAGGGGAAGTAAATAAGATTTTATGCTTCTATATCGAAAACAACATAATATTCACTTGTTGCATTTACGTGTACCTACTGTTAAGATACAAATATATGTTAAACGAATGTTGCAAGAGTCAATTTTATTTCGACTTGTTTAAATTTACAAGCGGCGTATTTTTTTAAATTGGCTTACGTCGATACGGAATAATATACATATATTTTTTATACAATAGAGGACCAACTTACGGGAGGCTCATCTGATCTTAAGTAATACCGCCGCCCATGGACATTGCCCACTTACATTGTCAGAAGGCTCGCAAGTGCATTGCCTTTTAAAAATTGATACGTTCTTTTCTTGAAGGACCAAAAGTCGAATTAGTTCGGAAATACTTCAGTGTGCACTTATTTCTTTCAAATTTTATAATTGATTTCCTTGAAAATTTTATTTTGACTTTGTGACAACTTTTTCGCGCTTTTGTAAATAATTTTATTTATTGTATACACAAGAAATGAAATATGACAGTGTGGTATTTCATCTTTGAAAACAATAGTCGTAAATGCTTCAAGTGAATTCTTCATAGTATAAGAGAAACGTCATTTTCTATTTTTTTTTAGATTACAATGACCATTCATTTATTCGTAATTTAGCGGAAGGGTAACTAGATAATAGAATACATCAATTGACACAAAATGGTCTGTTTCTTGTATTATCTTAGAGCCAATTCAAATAAACATTTATTATGAATAACAATTTGATTACAAACACTCAACACCTATAAATAAAATTCTAAACCTTGATTACATTTGACTAACAATATTAAAAAAAGTGTCTTACGAACTACAGAAATTTAAAAACTAATGAACCTACTTAGCAATAGATTACGTTATGTGCTCAGATTTCAACAGAAATTGATATAAATAGTATTGTCTATGTCTTCTAGAACAGATAATTCTAATGTGCTTCGTACACATTAATTAAGCAGTTAAAAATTCATATAGATATATGATTACTGCCAAATAAAGCCTATAAATAACATTACTTAGCAGATAACAAGAATACAAACAGATTTATACGTACGCTATACAATAATAATTTTATACACCAAGAAACATATTTACAAGTCACCAATGTGATATTTATGTCGCAGCCAATAAGCCGTTCAATTAACAGCCTAGCTATTTAACTAAACAGCGCCGTTTAACTAGCGACCTGAAAGATATTCAGCCGTAGAGTTTGTAACAAGATTTAATAAACTGGCCGTCTAATGCTTATGGCATTCGTACGATAGAGTGACCATGTGAGGGAAATATAAAAGATGAAACATAGGACATAAAAATTATTGCTTTAAAAATTAAATTGGTTCAGTCAGTCACAGCTATTACTATACACTTTTCCATTGTACTTGTTGATTTTCATTAAACTTTGGAAATCACCATCAAACTTGTGGTTAACCGACGCCATATTGACACTTTAAAGAGTTTCGTTTTCAAGTTTGAGAGTAGCAGAAAGTGGAACTAATTTTAAATTAACAGTCAACAGGCTAGGCAAGTAGTAAAGCGTCATCGATCCATGTCATTTGCCTAGCTGATCAACTGTAGTTAAACGGTGCTGTTTAGTAAGGAGGCTAGGCTGTTGATTGAACGGCTAATTAAGCTAGTTGGCTGCGATTTATATGAGAGTCGATGTGTGGCAATTTCTACTATAGCGCGGAAAGATCTACGCAAAAATATGTTTAAACGCCTTCAACTTTTAAATTACTTCTAAAAATACTTTGCGCCCTTTTCTTTGAAACTTTGGTCCGATGGCCAAGTCATACGCGCATTTAACATTTTATACATACAGGTCGATGCAAATCAAACACAAAGCACAGTTATATTGAAAATTGCAAACATCTTAGAATAAAACATAATATTAAATACACAAGTATCAGATCCCTACTCCAGCTCCAATAAATAGTGGCTACTTAAGATCTAAGCTAATACACAATTTTAACTAACCTAAAATCATTAAAGTAAAAGTGTTTACTGAAATATAAAAAATAATTTTTATAAAAATAACCCTTGAAGATACTGGACGAAAGTTTGCGGAGGATTAAGTGAATTATAATTTTGTTATCAATTCCAGTATTTTCAAGGCAGGAATGAGAGGTTTTGTTTAGTATTATTAACAGTTACAATTAGGATTGTTGTTTCCTTGGGGCTGCTCTGAAAGCTTCTGGCCTCGAGCTCCACCAGCCAACATGTTCTGTGGTTCCGAATCCAAGCTCTCAGACATCTTGTCACAGATAATGTCTACTAGTCGCTCGAACACAGCCTGAAAAGCGATGTTTATTACTTGTAGCTTAATAACTAGCCTGGCCATAACTGTTACAAAAAACTTTTCTTTTCTTCAACTTTTTAATTATTTTGAATTTGGAACACGTTTATTGTTTTAAAAAACTTCTTTCGATTTTGCGCCATTCTATATTAATAAATATGTAGGTATAAATTTTAATACTATTACATTACTTCATTAAAGACAATGCATTTTCATTTGTAATAGAACTTATGGCTGGACTAGGTATATATAATCAGCAATTCGATTGTTTTCTAAAGTTCTCTTTACTACAGCAGATGAATATCTATTTAGTCAAATAAGAGCAATAAGCATCAAGATTATAGAAAGTAACAGAGGTTTTGAGTGGATAACGAGACGAGAGACCACAAAGTGGTGCAATTGTACTAATTTATATCAAAGTACCCAAAAAATCTTTGCTTCGAACAATAATTGTTGCTACACCAGTGACTCAACTGAACTGCACAAAACAAAGACTCATAGGCAAGTCAGTCTTCTGCTTACGTTATAACTAAGCCTTATTTACGTTAATTAATATAAAATGAACAAAGCCCCTAACGATATCCGAGCCAAGCCAAACAGTATTTTTGTTAATGGTGGAGCGACAACCAAATTGGTCGCGTCTAGACAATTAATAATAATAATAATAAATAATAAAAACTTTATTTATGTCAAAAGGTGACAGAATTCATATATCGCTAGTCCCCACACTAGGGAGGCCCTGTGTTGTGGGTAACTAGAAAACAATTATTACGTGGTACATGTTTAAAACAGTTAAAAAATAAATAATAATAATAAATTTAGTGTTAAAAATTAAGTGAATAAGTGAGTGTGAGAATGGGTGTGTATGCGCATGTATTTGAGAATGTAGCTGAAAGTTGTTATGATCGTGCACTGTGTCTGTGTTAGTTTATGAAACCTCAAAGTCATACCAAGATGTAGTAATGCCTCTGTAGATTCGAAATCCAATTTGGCTAGTGTAATTTCTATAACGATCTCAGAATACATAGATTTGGAAATTTTGTTATAAAGGAAGGGGCCCCTAAATGCAAAGGAGCGCTGACCAAACACAGTCCTTCGTTTTGGCGTTGGGAATACAAAACATCTGTTCTTAATTGAAGAGAAACTTGAGAAGGAGAAATGAAATAGGATCTTCATACCTTGACATTAACATTCTCCTTAGCGCTCGTTTCAAAAAACTCAACGCCGAGCTGGTCAGCGAGCTGCTTGCCACGTTCTTGGCTGATGACGCGTTCTTCCTCCATATCACATTTGTTGCCGACCAGAATGACTTGAGCATTGTCCCACGAGTAAGTCTTTATCTGCGTCACCCTGAAAATATATTTATTCTTATTAAAATAACAACTAACCGATATTTAGCTGCTAAATTATCGTAAGTAATTTACTACATAGGTTAACAAGTGTAGTGTGTATCTTTTATGATACATCATACAAAAATACATACAACCCTTAATTTTTCACCCCTCTACGATCAACCCCTTTTTTTATTATTGTAGATAGTTATTTTTATTGAACTAAAAGAATGTTTCCTAGAACTAATAAACATGGCAATACAAACGTTTGCCGGGTAGTTTTTTATAAATTTATAATTGTATATTTCAGTGATTTTATTAATTAATCGATAGCTTATTTATCACGAAGGCTACCTACGTCAGTAAATATTATTTTTATAGAACATAGGGCAAACGGGCAGGAGGCTCATCTGATGTATGATACCGCTGCCCATGACACTCTCAATACCAGAGGGCTTACACGTTCGTTGCTCTTTTCTGGAAGGATTGGTTCGGAAATACTTCAGTAGGCAGCTGGTTCTACATAGTGGTGGTACGCAGCAAAAACTGCCTTATAAAAATTCAGTTTTGGAACGACGGACGTCGAGGTGATACGGGTGGAATATTCTTTTGCTTAAAGAATACTATTCTGCTTCGACATCCGATGATGAAACTTAGCTTAGCTTTCAAAACATACGTATACGTTGCTACCATTTATAATCAGACATATAAAACGTAGATTTCATTTTGAAACCAAGAAACTTAGCAAATAAAAGATTATCATAAGATTATATAAGTGATACATGTATCTTATGTTCCATAATAAACATATCAGAAAATAGTTATAACAATTATCTCCACTCGAGACGTAACTGTAGTAACATAAATTCAAAATGTTATCTTCATCTGTGACCGAAATAATAAATTCTCGATCAATAAAAATACATATATATATATATTATGTATAGTATATACGAGCTAAGAATACGTATATGTATATTTAAATATTATATCTGTTTTAAGTGTTGTGTTGTTTATGTGTTTAATTCTCTGATTTAACCTGTCGAAACTGAACGAGCACTAACATTCCAAGCTTACCAGCGATTCATATTTGTTATATTATAAAATAAATATTTTTTTGTTTTTTACTTTTCTCGACTGCAGTTACAATACTTCTGTAGTAAAAAAATTATTACTAACCAGTCCTGTACACTGTTGAAACTTTCTTCGTTAGTGATGTCATACATGAGAATAAAGCCCATCGCTCCACGGTAGTATGCAGTTGTAATTGTACGGTAGCGTTCTTGACCTGCTGTGTCCTATTAACAAAAGCTTTTATTTGCGACCAGTGCTTCTTGATTCCCTTAATACAACACAACCCATACAAATTAAATTTTAAAACAAATCCTACAACAAGGGCATCTATTATCTGATAAAGTCATTAAATTATAATTATTTTTATAGGATACTAGCTGCTAGCACGCTCCGCTGCAGCACATTGTGATTGAATGGTTGAGAAATGAGAAACAAAAAAAGAAAACATTTCATATAAGTTTAATTTTTAATACTTGTGGAAAAAATTATGAAAAAAACAAAAAAAAATAGATAAAAACAATCTATTTTTTGCGGATTATATATCATGCTAAAATTTCAGCTTGATCGGTGCAGAACTTTCTAAGTTTTTGAAGCGTACACAAACCAAAATAACATTTTATATATATAGATTACGTATATTATAAGGAAATCAAATCGATTCAAAATTATAACTTTGGAAGTTAAATCTCCAGTTATTGACGGGAATTAAAGTTAAATAAATACTTAAAATGCAAAGACATTACCATATCTGTGAATTCATCAAATTATGTTTGGGTAATTTTTATTATGAATAAAAATGTCGTTTTCACATATTTCTTGTATAAATATTTCTAAGTTGAAACGTCGCAACGGTAACATGTTTAAATTTATATTCGTTATTTTCAAGAGTCTCAAGATAGTGTAACGAAGAGCAGTATTAAAAAAGCTATTAACATTTCCATATATTGTTAATTCTCAAAGTTTTAATCAAATTCATGAAATAAAACAAGTTTTGTGTTATTTTAGGGAGTTTTCGACGGAATATTAAAGTAATTTTATGATTTGCCTCTAGGAACAGTTTAATTTAAATTTGAAATTTGACAGTCTATAAATATTTCTCGAATAGCAAGAAATAGGATTCCTGATAAATCTAATAGATCTCTCCTGATATCAGTTTTAGTATGGGTACACACAATAGAACCGAAATCTGAATCTTTGCTCTACTTCTTTCATTTCATAGATACTCGTATGTTTAACATGATCAGTAAACTTAACAATGCTGTGCTAATCTGAAACAGTATTTGTTTTACCGGGAAAAACCAATGACACATTATTCCTACCAATCAAACGGTACTTAGTAAGTAATGTATCGTTTTGATTTTTATATTTAATTATTGTTAAGTTGCTGTAGAGAATAAAGTCTGTATTAACAAATAAATTCGAAAACTAATTGAGCATTTAAAAACACTCATTCAGTAGATAACAAAGGGTATGTTTATTTCCAAAACATTTTAAAATAAATGTCCAATCGTGCAAAACCGGAATAAGCCACATGTTATCTATCTACTAATATTATATAGTTTGCGAGGTCGAAGAGGATCTAATCTCTTGATCGGAACCGATTTTAAAAATTCAAAGAAATAGAAAGCCACATTTTTATGAGTGCCATAGTACCTATATGCATACAATATACATATTACCTCGGAAAATTTAAATACTTTTTCGTCGTAGTCGAATTTGCAAAGTTAGAGAAAAAACGATGGAACGAAAACAACTGAGACAGCTGCGTTATAAATTGATTAAACTTGAATCACTTAATAATGCATACGATGCCTATCTTTTATATTGTATGACAAGTCCTCAGTCATGTCTCGTCCACGTCTAGACATCTCTATCTGTTTGGAATAAGCTCAAAAACTATAGCACAGAACAGCGGTTTACCAACATCTATAATGATTCAAAGTAAATAATAAGATATACCCCTATATCCAGCAATTAAAAACTGTAAACTCACCCATATTTGAAGTTTAACACGTTTGTCGTGTCGGAACACCGTTTTGACCTTGAAATCAATGCCCACAGTAGACACAAACGCTGATGTAAACGAGTCGTCTGCGTAGCGGAATAGAAAACTGAAAATTAAAATTGTACTATTGTGTAGTGGTTAAACAAAACAAGCTTGCAAATAATTGTTCCATACAATCATGTTATTACACTTAACGTAGCCCAATTGCTTTTGAACAGACGACTAATATGGTACGGTACCAATGGTATAGCTTAGACAATTATAAGTAAAATAAACGAAAAATTGAATGGGAATCTTCTAGCGTACTGGTTAAAAACTTAATGTGATAATTTAGAAACTTCGACTGTACAGCTTTTTATTTTTGTATGTTCAATTGAAATTTGCCGTGTATGAGGTATATTGAAAGCAGTGGGACCATCATGTCTTATGAAAAAATATTGATGATACAGACCGAGCAGGTATCCCGTCATGTAAAAAATTTTTATGGTACACTATGCAAACGGGCAGGAGGCTCATCTGATGTTAAGTGATACTACCGCCCATGGACACTCGCACTGCCAGAAGGCTCGCAAGCGCGCTGCAAGACTTTTTACAATTGGTACGAACTTTTCTTGAAGGACCCTAAGTCGAATTGGTTCGGAAATACTTGGTGGGCAGCTGGTTCCGCATAGTGGTGGTGCGCGGCAGAAATTGCCTTAAGAAACGCTCAGTTGTGGAACGATGGATGTCAAGGTGATACGGATGGTATTTTTTTTATTAGTAATAGTTAAAAAACAAACTCTGCTATAGAACTTGTGCGATGTCTTAAATGATAAATCCGACCGATTAACCAACCAAGCCGGTAGCTGGTTGGTAGTAAAAATAAATATGTCTTTGAGACAGGAATGTAATTAGAAAAACTTTCCGTCAAGCGAAAATAATTGGCGTCTTGTAACAAAAATTATTGGAATTTGTTCAAAACGCTCTTGTTAGCGCTCATAGTACAATGAACGTAATTTGGCAGAGTATACTGACCTAGTCTTCCCAACAGAACTATTTCCAATAATCAGCAATTTGAACATGTAGTCGAAATTTTGGTCGCCAGCATCTTTCTGCCATTTGGGATCACCTCCTCCGGCCATCTGTCAAAAAATCAATTTTTTTAATTGAAATGTAGTATTACCAACCATTAATATACTAAATAGAAATTTATTTTTGAGCATTTACTCTGGGTGACAGACACGAGACTTGTCAAAAAATTACGCACATGTCAAAATTCAATACATTTTTGACGTACGAAAGTCCGACTTAGCTATAAGTTTCACACTCTCTCTGTCTACATCTAATTACCTCGTCTTTAACTTCTATCGTTTAAATTAGCTTTCAAATTATATTCACTACAGGATATCTATTATCTTTTGGCACGGCCACCGCTGTGTTTACTCCATTATCGACTGACGCTACATTAAATTTTATGTTATCGCTACACCCATACCAAACCATATTACCGGGCAATAGAGGTCATAGCTGTTACTGATCCTGCCAATAGCGTCAATAGCATGAAAATGAATTTTCTCAAATACATAATAATTTTGCACGCTCTTCGCGATAATAGGTTTCGTCATATCCTTTTGTGATAATGTATTTTTATTGATTTTATAAACGGGACATTTGTTTGACAACAGAAGTCACAGCAAAAATACTTTGAGACTGGTAACATTTAGTAATATATGTGTGTTTAATATATAATATACATCAGTGTAGGCTTGAGTCTTTCAAACCTGAGGTCATCCGTTCGAATCACGGCTTTGTACTAATCGATTTTTCTATATATATATACTGAAAACTCGGACGGTGAAGGAAAACATCGTCAGGAAATCGGCATGCCTTAGGCTCAAAAATAGACGGCGTGTATCAGGCACCTAATTATCTGCTAATAATAGTAAATTATCAAGAAACATAGCTAACTTTGAGGTCCAGACCTACAGTTGTGCAACACTGTTTTTTTATATAAACAATTGTGAAGGGTATATTGTAGTTATAAAACAGTATTATAAAGGGAAATTCTTACCCTAAGTGTAAGCAAGAGTCATGTCCATTATCATATACACAAAGATCTGTTAAGTACCTACAGGTATGAAAAATGCCACGTCGGCGTAGTTGAACGATTCCGAATACGCCAGGCTCGCGTTATTTTATTCGATGCGCAAACGTTATCTGGTATTGACCTAAATTCCACTCACAACCCCTTATCTTCGCAAGTTACCCAGATTCAGAATTTCTGTCTCTTTGTAACACATGTTTGTTATGCTGAAGTGCGCCTGTGCAGGACTAAGCAAGGTCTTGCGTAGGCGGTAGGTTTTTAATTTTGACTTAAAATCTATATAAAAAAAGGACGAATATCGATCGACTCTGTTGTTTTGGGATAAGCTGTGTCAATTTATTGTTATGTAACAAAATTCAAATATCGTATTAAATTTTCGAATACCTTTTACGCTTGGGTAGCCGAAGACAAGTAGACTTCTGACGTCACAATAATGTCCTTGAAGCAAATACCAATCTGCTATTGATTTTTGTCACTTAAGCCACTGAATCTAACCAAAAATCCTACGAAAACAGCGTAAAACAATAAACAGAATCACCAAGTGCGAAATCGATATATCTCGGAGATTATTTTGTAACCCACTATAGTTTTCGTACTGATTTTCGAAGCGTCATTAGATCTGGTTAATTTATCTTACTTTATTCTCTATAGAAATTATTGTATAACGTTAAAGACTGCAAGTAACAGCTGTTACGGCTTAGACCTTACTGTGCCATGGGAGTAGGACGGAAATTCAAAATGGCGAAGGATGCGCGCGCATTAATACCGACTTGTCATACGGGATTTACACTCGCGCTTCGTCCCTCGCCTCGTGGCTCGCCTCGTCCCTCGTGCGAGGCTCGTGTTGATCGATGGTAAATGAGTTGCCTGTTTACACTCGCGTGCCGAGTTCAGTCGTCTTTGAGCTAGCAACAATGGAGGACGTCGAAGTTTTAGCAGCAACAAGTTTGTGCGTACTGGGCTTATACTGCTACGTCACTAATTTAAATAAAAGGAAAGTAGTAAAGAAACGTGTTACACTCGTAAATGGATGCCAAAAATGTTTCCATAGCATCGTAATACAACCACACTGGCTTGTAAATATCATCATCTCCTGCGCCGGACCTTACTGATTGTTTTTTGCGCCGGAGTAGCTGGCGAAATGTAGCCATGAGAGAATTTTTCTTGTTTTTTAATTCTGTTTGAGATCTTCCCATTATTTCGGACAATCTCGCCCATGCATCGCTAACTTTTTGGCTGTTCTTGTGGCATTTATGTTTAGGGTCCCAAATTATTCGTTCTTTTTGAAATAGTTCTATGAACTTAAATGTTTCGTCTTGCGACCAATCCATTATACGATTACTGCGTTTTTGTTTTTGCGTATTTAAAACTAAACACAACCTGCGCGGCACGATGTAGAAGCCAGAATAAAGCGGGAGGGCGAATGTAAACACCCACTCGCGTGCGACGCGAGGTCCTTTGACTCGTGCCCCAAAAACCGCTCCGGACGCGAGCGCCGCGAGGGACGAGGCGAGGGACGAGGCGAGCCACGAGCGTCTGTTCACACTCGCACCTCGCCCCTCGCCTCGTCCCTCGCCTCGCGACTCGTACGCGAATGTAAATGGGCTATCAAATTTTCATGATACCAAATATTTAAACATGGGGCTGGCATAGGGCAGTTTAGTTGCTGATATCTCATTCCAATTATAGTCAAGTCAATGTTTATAACTCAATCTATTTATAGATATAAAAAGTTAAACTAAACTTCACCTGAGATATTAAACAAATGAGAATCTACTTATGAAAGTAATTTTTTTATTTTTTATTATATGAAATGTAAGAAAGGCGCTCTAACGATTTCAGTAAAATAAGACGCTCATATGATCAATGAAGTACCAATGCAACGACCTCATCTTGACCTATATTTAACCATTCCCTCTAACAATTATACTATGGCAAATATTGAAACTTGTATTCAACCTTTTTGATAATTTAAGATAAATCGTTGTAACAAAATTTTGTCTACTAATCGTTGAAAATAAATTAAATATATCCCTTTTAATATTCCTCTAATAATCTTCTAAAGAGAATAAAAAATGTATTAAAAAACTGTAAATACAGTTATGTTTTTCGCAAATTTTAGGAAGAGAACAAAATAGGGCTTCGTGTTGACTATAAGAAATAATATGTATATTTAATCGTACACAGTCGTTTAAAATACTGCCCTAGTTTCAAAAAAAGCGTAACAAAAACTGAACCGAACTTAGAACCTTTATTGATTACTTGCACACTTCTAACTGAATCGGCTAAGTAATGGTTCTAAACAATTTAACTAGATGGCGTTACTTATCGGCAAACGGCCGTTCAATGTTATATTTAAAACTCACATTTCTTTGATGTACCATGTTATGTAGTATATTAATGGCAACAATAACTATCTAATAAAACAAAAGCTTCGGATGTCTCCAACTAAAAATTCTGTAACAGAGCTCCGCTAAAAGGTTTTCGCTGATATTTTTATATGACTTTAAAAAGCCCAAGGAGAATGATATTTTTATTTAATAGAACAGGGACAAACGGGCAGGAGGCAGTTACGTGATACCGCTGCCAATGGACACTCTAATGCCAGAGGGCTCGCGAGTGCGTTGCCGGTATTTTTTAAATTGGTACACTCTTATCTTGAAGGACCGGATTCTGACTTGACGTTTGACGATGAATCTCAGCGGCACGTATTAATCAGAACAACTCCTTTGAACACTTTCCATGGTAAATGCGATGGAAGATGCATAGAAACCCTACATCTCTACGTATCGCCAAGGGATCAAGCCTCTCGGAAAAGAATTGGTCCAGTGGAAGGGCTGGTACTGGGAGCTCCCGCGCAGAGGGGAGAACAGTACTCCATGTGGGACCGAATTTACGCTCTATCCTTAACTTAGAAATGGTTACTACATGTGTCCACAGCCAGGACTAGCATTCTAAAAAGAGCATATATTATTCGCTGCATTGAGTTAAGGACTTTTTTTATTGTGTGTTGAGTGAACTAACATATACATATTTGTTAGAGCCTATAATAACTAGATGCGCAGAGACGATGAGAACTTGGAGAAACTGATCGTGGTGGTAACACAGAAGGCAAAAGATCACGTCGCCGTTTACCAACCAGATAAACCGATCAGGTGAATGACTCATCGTCCTCAAAACTGTACACTGTCATAAGAGAGGCGCTGGACAGAAACCGGTGGAAACAGATCGTCCACTCGATGCTTCCTTGCTGACCACGAGGCCAGACATGAGCTGCCAATTGAAGAGAGAGATAATAACTAGTGAATTTTTCAATATGTAATTATATTCTATAACTTGTTTTTTATTTCGTGTGTGAACAATGTTTTTGCAAATACATTAAAATATTCCACATTATACCTACAGCGTTGGATTAACACTAATTAATTGTATATATAGAACTTAAACCTTATAAAAGTTATGTTGACAGACTTGATATTAAATTGAAGTTGGTATATTTAATAAAACTTTTGTATGACATATCAGAATTAAAATGAATAAAGTTTTGATTGTTTGAGAAATTGCAGGTATTTTTACGGTATTATTCATTCGTTCTGCTCGTGGTAAACCGTGTATATATGCATGAAATCAGACCTTGAGCAGACATTTCGGCGTTTATTTGACTGATTAACCGTCTTCAGAAAGGGGTTATCAATTTGACCTGTATATCTGCGTATCAGGATCGGATATTAAGGATGATGATATATTTACTATATGTATGCTACATTTCGTGTGTATGTTTGTTTATTCACAAATTTATCTAAAATTATAAGCGAATATGTACTTTGTTTCGAATTTGGTATAATAAGCCAGGCAACTTTTCTATCTGCATTTTTTCAGACTCTCCATGACCCGTCCTTCGTCCTTCTTTGCCCCAGGATTTTATACAATATATTGCGTTCCCCACTAGTATACAATTTATTTATAGCAAAAAAACCTATTTATTTGAAGAGTTTATAAAACTAATGCATAGTTTCCATGTAGCTTATACATAATAAT